TCTACGACAGCCTGTCACCATTGGTGTACAACCTGTAAAGCCAGTCCAGGCCAAATGTGCTCCGTTGGCCCCAGGAGCAGTGGAATCAGTCCTTCGGCTGGGAGAATGAGCTGAGCCTCACCCGGAGGGAACTGCCGAGTGGGGCAGCGTTGGTTCCCCGGGCCGTGCGTGGACATGTGTTTCTTGGTTTTTGCCCATGGACTTGTTCACACGCCAGAAGATTCGTCTGGCAGAGCTCGGTGTCGCTCTGAAAGTGCTCTTCTGCTTGCCCAGCTTCCAGAGTCATGGTTTCTCCTCGATGGGCTTGTGGCTCTTGGTGGTTTCGCTACAGATTGTTTTAAGTCTGCTTTCCGTTGTAGAGTGGTTGGAATTGTCTCTCCATTCAGCCTGCTTGGGTTTTTTTTTCTTGGGATTTCTTTCAGCTCCGCATGGAGACATTTTTAAAGATTCAAAGTTCAGATCCTACTTTCTGGACCACTGTTTAGATACAGTGTGAGAGGAAGATCCATGGGCCCCTGCTCGTCCTGAGACTTAAGTACACTAAACTCACAGCGCAGCTTCTTGACTGTCTGCAGTGGCCTACGGCTGGGTTAGGGCCCAGCACGGTGGCCACCTGAAATGCCAGGGCGGACTCTTGATCAGGTTGGTACAGCTGGTGAGGGCGCTCGATTGCTCCCTGAAAGTTGAGAGACTTTGAGTCCACCCTGAGGTGGCTGAGAAGAAAGACCTGGTGACCTACTCTTCAAAGCCATCATTGGAACTCCTCTGGAGACAGTTCTGCAGCGGTGTGCGCTGGGAGTTGACCTGAAGCCCCCTGGCTAACCCTCACCCCACGGTCAAGGAGAGAGATGGACTTTAGAGGTTCGCACGGCTACCTTCTCATGCTCTCTTCTTTCCAGCTCTGGGCAGCCCTGCCCTCGGCCTGAAAGAATGCACCAAGGGCTCCGCTGTGTGGTGCCAGGACATCAAGACGGCCTCTGACTGTGGCGCCGTGAGGCACTGCCTGCAGACCGTGTGGAACAAGCCCACAGTGGTGAGTCCCCTACCATTCCCAAGCACCTCCTGCCACGTTTCCTCCGCTCTCCCGGTGACCCAGTCTGAGAAGCAGGCAGCACAAGTCCGGAAGGGTCCCCAGTTGCCTCAGAGCAATGGCGGCTCCAAGAGGTCAAGGTGAAGGTTTCCCCAAGGCCCGCCAGTCTCTGGGAAGAAATCTTGCTGGCCTGGCTGGCAGCCCGGCTGGCAGCTGTGTGCTCTGCGCTCAGGCCTCTGCAGAGGCGGGGAGAAAGACCTGCGGAGGCTCTGCACAGCTCCAGGGCGCGCGTGCCACAGCTCCGTGCTACACTTTCCCCAATGTTTCCTGACCTTTTTGACCTTTGCCTACCTGCCCCTCATTCCGCTCCCGCCCTCAGGCAAATCACTGATGTGTTAGGAGGGCCACCTTCACATCTTAGTTTTGTAACTTTTCTTTTTGGTAGAATTTCTCTCCAGTGACACCCAAACTGGTGGTTTTATTACTTAAAGGATACTAAGTGCGGCCTGTTAATTTATCCGGGCCGGGGCAGGAGTGCTCGGTGGTAGAATTTCACCTGTCAAGCGGGAGATGGGGGTTCAGTTAGTCTCGGCACTCTTCAGGCACCCCACCCCGCAGTTCCCTCCGTCAGTGGAGCCCTGTGTGGGCAGAGTGCTGAACAGGCTTCAGCAGAGCTTCCGGACCAGGGTGGGAGAGCCTTTTTCTGCCAAGGGCCATTTGGATATTTATAATGCCCTCTGCAGGCCAGACAATTCTCCACTTAGAAATGAGCCTGCTCTGTTTGGTCAACCAGTTACTTCACTCACCGCTAATGTGATGGCGGGGTCTGCTGCTCCTTGGAGAGGCAGGCGATGTTCGCTGGGGGCGATGTTCGCTGGGGGCTTCGATGATTCCGTTTACCACTCCCACCCCTGTTCTAAGCTGAGACCAGGAAGAAAGGACGCGAGCCGGTGAAAACTTTACGGATCATCGTGCGACCGTGGCACAGGCTGTACAGCCTTCTGTTCCAAGAGTGCAACTGGCAGGCAGCCGACAGCAGCCGTGTAATGTAGGGTCTTCATCACCACCTTGCCACTGTCAGGAGTGTCGTGCAGGCCTCTCAAGCGGGACACTTCCCAGGAGGGATTTCCAGGCAGCCTTCTCTATGGGAGCAGGTCACCAGTTGACACTGCACTTTCATGTAACAACATGTAAACAACATGTACTAGTTACATCTGCCACCAGTGACCAAAATCACCTTCAGATCAGCTCTCGCATGTCCTTTTGATCTTGTGCTTAGTCATGCTCCCTCTTTAGATCTCACTTAGATCTTCCTAGGATCCAGTTTCTCTGGATCTGGCCCCAAGCATGACATTAGTCTGGTAAGTCTAACGATTCAAATGGGTTTTTCTAAATCCCACCAAAAGAAACCAGACTCACTAGGGTCTAGTCAGTGCTGACTCGGAGACCCCCTGTGGGTTGCCGAGACTATAGTGGGGAGTAGAAAGCCCAGTCTCTGCTGCTGCCCATGCAGATCACAGCCCCCCGCTTAACCACCTCACCACCAGGGCCTCCTAGATGTCCTGTAATCGTGTCCCAGCGTGCTAGTTCCAGCCCGTGGGTTGGAAGTCAGTTGACATCATGAACATGTTGTGGCATGTTGAGGGCAGCATTTCTGCCCAGGGACCTAGAGGGCTCCGCTAGAATTTCTACAGCTGCCGTGGGTTAGGCATGGTGCTGCCAGGGCGGTGGTTCGAGCCCGTCCTATTTTGGAGTAGAGAAGACCTGAGGTCACCTGCCCTCTACAGGCTTACAGAATTGTTGCCTGGGGAGTCCTGGGCCGCAGTTCTCTGTCCTGCGGGGAGGCGGAGTCAGAATTGACTCTTGGCAGTGGGTTTGGCTTTGGGGTTCTGTGAGGACCCTCAAGTCCAGGCTGATCAGAAGCGGTATGGGGTGAGGTCTTTCAAGCTTTGGAGTGGGGCTGTCCTGAACGCAGCCCTGGAGGAGGGGTGGAAGGTAGAGGGGAGGTGACCTGACAGTGCTGAGATGAGTGTGTGGTCAACAGCGGCGTCTCCTGGGGCGGGGGGTTAGGGTTCCCTAGTGGGGGGTGGGTGTCCCCCCAACCTCACCCACTGTTAATGCTTGGTGATATCAACCTTTCTGACAGTCCGCTCAGGGTTGCTGTCAGTACATCCAAGGTTAGGTCTGTGCTACAGACGTGAAAAGACGGGGCAGATTTGGGGGTGGCAGTCGCGCGCGCGCACAGAGCAAGGTGCCTCTGCTGCAGAAGCACAGAGTAGCCTGCTAGGTGTCACCTTGCTCTTGCCCCTTGGCGCCCAGGCCTGCGCCTCTGGGGTGGGATCTGGGTAGGTCAGTATGTCGACCCTCATCGAATGGCGTCGCCCGTGGCACTGGTTGGGTACCGTATGAAGAGGGCAGCAGGCCAGCCAGTTGACCCCATGGTGTGGGCGGTGACTGATGCCCTACAATCTTCTCCCTCCTGTTCTTCCCCTTAGAAATCCCTCCCCTGTGACATATGCAAAGATGTCGTCGTGGAAGCTGGCAAGCTCCTGAAAGAGAGCGGTGCTGAGGTGAGCCTTGGGCGCAGACTGCGGGTGTGAGTGCTTCGGGCTCGCTGAGCCACTTGCTATCTCTGATACACTTTTTCTTTTGAACTCTTTAAGAATGTAAAAATAGATCATGCTTTGGCTCGAGCCATACATAAAACAGGTTAAGGAATATCGTTTGCTGACCCCATGGCTGCTGCTAACTGTCCAAGATTAATTGGGACTTTGTTTTCACGCTCTGCTCACAGTTTCCTATGCCTGCGAGACTGAAGGCCAACGGGCTCTTTGCTTTGAGTTTTCACATCAGTTTTTTGTCTGGCTGGTGGGCTCGGCCCTCTGTCCCGAGCGTTGGCGGCTCCCTGGCCTGTGTTTCCGGGGTCCTAGAGGGCTTCCTGCTCTCAGTCCGGCTGCAGGAAAGCCTCCTGTCCAGAGTTCGACCCCGTGTCCCCCTCCCTTCAGGAGAAGATCACGGGAAACTTGGAGAAGGTCTGCGAGTGGCTTCCTAATGCGAACTTAACTAACTCCTGTTCGACCCCGTGTCCCCCTCCCTGCAGGAGAAGATCACGGGAAACTTGGAGAAGGTCTGCGAGTGGCTTCCTAATGCGAACTTAACTAACTCCTGTAAGACCATAGTGGACAGCTACTTACCGGTCATCCTGGACATTATCAAAGGAGAAACGGTACGATGGGATGGGAGGAGTGTGGCCCACGGGTGTGTCAGACCAGTCTAAGGGGACCGATAGGACATCTGTGCATTCTGATTCTCCAACTCCTCACGGGAAGTCTAGCACAGCAGAACTCTGCTGGGGACTGGGGTGAAAGCCTGACTCTTCCAGGGCAGGGGTGGGATACAGGTGGTTTGTACCCCAAAACAGGCCTTTCCAGGGCTGGTGAGGGCCCAGGAAGGCAGGTATTTGTCGGGTTCTGAGGGACTGTGAACTCAGGCAAGGAAGTGGGTGCTTTCCTTCCACCTGGTGAATGAAGCCCTAGCACTTAGCTGCAGTTCAGTACCTCTACCCTAAGTAATTCAGAGAGTGAGTTTGCCTCTTTCCTTCAACACGTGCCCCTGGCTGGGTCTGTAGCAGTGAACAAGGAGCCCAGACGAGCTCCGAGAAGGAAGACGAGGCTGGAAACCTGAGGCAGCTGGTGGGGCAGGAATACCAAGGTTGCTTCATGGGAGGCCTTCTGGGCCATGGTTAAGGATTCCCAGTGCAGCCTGAAGCCTTTGGAGGCTCTTGAAGAGGGGATTGCATTGCTTGGTAAATAGAGAGTGCTGAAAAGCAGGGAGCTACTTTGAGGACTAGGTGGTCTTTTCAGTGGCCTCGTGTATGTGAAGTGGCTCCACCAGTGGGCTCAGGCACAGGAACGGTTGTGAGGATGGCCAGGACCGGGCTGTGTTTCCTTTTGTGCGTGGGCTTGCTGTGGATGGGAACTGGCTCTGTGACACCCCACCACCACCACAACACAGGGGGATGGGGTGACCAGGCCGAGGTCCGCTGATTTGGGAGATGCTGCAGATGGAGCCATGGTGGTGTAGTGGTTGTGTGTTGGGCTGCGATCCACGTGGGTCAGTGCCACCAATAGCTAGCTCCACGGGAGAAAGACTGGGCTTTCTACCTGTGGAAACCGTTACCAACTCGGAAGCCCACAGAGGTCGCAGCAAGAGTGCGAGGGGAAGCCCGAAGGACGTTTGGGAGGCTATTGCCTGTAAGAGAGGTGTGACTGGGAAGTGGGGAGAGGGGCAAGTGTACATTCTGTTTTGGAGGGGAAATGTACCAGCTTTTCGGATGGAGGAGGGTGCACAGGAGAAGAAAGAGCTGAGCAGACGGAACCGTTTCCCCGTACAAAGACACCGGAGGGGCAGTGCAATCAGGATGTTAGTTCTGGCTGTGTTAGGGCTGAGGTGTAGGGCAGGCATGTGTGTGAGAGTCAGGGTTACCCTCAGCTCAACCCGCTGGTGTTGAGCCCATTCCAGCCCTTGACGGTGGTGACCCCAGAGGTGTTGGAGGGGGCGGAGCTCCAGAGGGTTTGCAGTGGCTGATGTTAGGGGAGGTAGCTTGCCAGGCCTGTCTTTCATTGCAGCGTCTCCGGGCGGACTTGGAACTTCCAAGCCATTTGGTTAGCAACTCAGGGTGTTAGCTGTTTGTGCCACGCAGGGGCTCCCAAGCCAGGGCAAGGGGTGAGTAACCCTGAGAGCCTGCCACTTATGGAAGGGATTCAAACCAGTGGAAGGGAATAGCCCAGAACTGCTGGTAGCGCTCCCCCCCTCCTCGTGGGCCCCCAGCCAGGCGTACCGGAAGAAGAGCCTAAGTGAGTGTGGGGACGCTGTCTTTATTCTTTGTGAGGGATGCTGAGTATGAGAAGAACCTTTGTGCATTTGCGGGCTGGGTGGCGTGTCTGTGTTCCTCTGGGGTGGCTGTTTCAGCTGGACCTCTTTCCCAGCAGAGTCGACCAGAGGAGGTGTGCTCTGCCCTCAAGCTCTGCCAGTCTCTCCAGAAGCACCTGGCTGAGCTCCAGCACCAGAAACAGCTTGAGTCCAACAAGATCCCAGAACTGGACACGTCTGAGGTGGTGGCACCCTTCATGGCCAACATCCCTCTCCTCCTCTACCCTCAGGAGGGCTCACCCAGCAAGCCCCAGCCCCAGGTAAGGCCGCAGGGCAGGCTGGGGCCCCCGGGCAGTGTGGTGAGAGACCTGGTGGGGCTGGGGTTTGTACACCTCTTCAACTGGGGCCCTGGCCCCTGCACGCCCACGGGCTGGGCTTCAGCAGTGCTCTGTGGAGCTCTGGAGAGCTGTACCTTCCACTTTGGTACATAGGTCTTGTACCGAGACGTGTGCCCAGCTGGTTTTGTACTCGTCAGTCATTTTAGTGCCTGTGGAAACAGAGGCGTCTTTAACTGCTCAGAGGAGGAACAGTGTGAGGGTGGGAAGCTGTCTCTTGAGATACTTAGGAACCCCTTTGGAAACGGCCCCTCGCTCCCTGGGCACAGAGCATCGCCACAGGCAATGTCCGTGGAACGGAAGAGTGTCATCATGACCTCTCGGTCTCTTCAGGCCAACGGGGACGTGTGTGAAGACTGCGTTCAGCTGGTGAGTGACGTCCAGAACGCCGTCAGGACCAACTCCTCCTTCATCAGCGCCCTGGTGGAGCATTTCAAGGAGGAGTGTGACCGCCTGGGGCCTGGCATGTCCGACATGGTGAGCCCTCCCCATCTGCCCACACTGGGAGGGGCCATGGGCCAGGACGGCCATGCAGGAGGCCAGTCACTTCCCGAAGCACCTTGCTCAGTGCTGAGTGCTCTCCAGTCCCCAGCATTCTCTCAGCTCCCTTGTCCTGCTCCAGAAGGCAACCAGAATTGGGAGGGGTGTGGTGGGGTGGGGGTACACATTTAAAACACTGCCTGGACAGTTGGGTCTGGTTTGGATGTTTGCTTTGTTTTGTTTGAAACTACTTACGTGTCCCAAAAGAATTGAAACCAATTTTGACTTTCATTTCCCTCCCCTTACAACCACTGAGACGAGTGGTCAGAGGTGATGGGTCAGGAAACTGGAGAGTGTTTAAGGTTGTGACCCTGCTCTTGGTAAAGAACACTCTTTATGTTAAAAAGTTCGGTGTACATTTAAGTTACTGCCTTTCCCCTTTTTATTTGTGGACTCGTCACCCGTGAAAAGAGACGGGGAACTGTGTGCGGCTGCCCAGCCCATCGTCACACCAGCTCTGGGCAGTGTCCCAGGGACACCTTTTGTTAAGACTCCCCCGTTCTACAGGCTGACTCATTGTCTGTTCGCACGTGAGGGGCGTTTTTTTCTAGGAGTGGATTCCAGTAACCACGCTCAGGAGATGGTGGTGTGAAATGTAAATGCCCAGTTTAGTGCTTGACACCCAGAACCTGGCTAGACTGGGATGTGGGCAAGAATCCCCCAAGCCAGCCCATTGCCACGAGTCAGTGCTGACTCACAGTGACCCAAGGCATTGTTTTCCAGGCTCAGCTTTCTCCTGAGAAGCAACTGGTGGGCTTGAACCTCTGTCCACTGCTTACACAACAGTGCCCCCTTGGCTTCTTGGATAGCTCCCCGGGCCTCGGGTCTAGAGCAAGTGTTCAACATTCCTCATGCTGCGACCCTTTCATACAGTTCCTCATGTTGTGGTGACCGCCTCCCCCCCCTCCCCCAACTATAACATTATTTGTGTTGCTACTTCATAACTGTAATTTGCTACTGTTAGGAATCAGGTGAACTCTGTGAAAGGGTGGTTCAACCCCCAAAGGAGTCACGACCCACAGGTTGAGACCCGCTGGTCTAGAGTAAGCTGAATGTTCCCTCTTCCCGGGCGCGAGGCGGGGCTAAGGGTCCCTCTGAGGACATGCACTCCTGCAGATGTGAAGACTCAGGCCTGGGGGCCACTGCAGGGTCTGCAGTTGTAGTCCAGGGCCCTCACACGTCGCTTTCCGAGACCTGCCGTGCCCTCTGGCTCCTTCTCGGTCAGGTGCCTGTGAGGGGCTACGAGGCTTCCTTGGTTTGTATGAAGATAGACAGCCTAAAAGTCATAATAACTTGGTTCTCTGCGATTTAAACTTGGATCCAGAGCCCGACCGTACGAGATCGGGCAGTAATCCTGAGCACGCCACTTGCCCCGTAACCTGTGACTCGGCCACTGGAGGACTTGTGTGGCCTTCGCATAGGGAGATTGGAGGACATCGGGGTCAGATCCCTTTAAGTGGGCTTGAAAGTGTGCTCGAAACCCTGCACACAGGTCCTCTTATGACAAGTGGCAGACTCACCAGATTGCCACTAGCATTTTCCCAGTCTGCTGCTGCACTTGCAAACGCAGCTTGGCTGTGTGTGTGTGTGTG